CATTGCGCAACGATGGGCCTCTGAAGTCGCTGCGACAGCCGGCCTTTCCTCGGCAATTTGTATATAATGTAAATATATATATATGTAACAGTATAGACCCATATATATATATATAAATACACTAAGAAAATTCAAAAGCATCTATACATACATAGACTACAAATACACATATATATATATTAGAAAAAAACTCACATATTATACATATATATATATATATGCATATACTATGTATATATATAAAAATACATATCTAATATGAATCCAACCATTGAAAGGATGATTCAAGTCAGTCCTCAAATCCAGGAGGAGGATAAGGAGGAGGATGAGGAATTTGTTCAACCTGCGTCAGTCTGCATGCATTTGTAATGAGTGTATATAATATGTATATATACACACATTCAATGCATCATGCACATGAAACTGAGTTGGACACACCTTTGGAAGCTGCCTTGGGCACGCTCCCAGGCACCTGCTGATGAACATATCAAACAAAGATGGTGGATGCCACTAGGTAAAGACATCATGCCACTAGATAAAGAAACCCAGTTGCTCACAGTATATATATATATATATATGAGTATATATATATATTATTTATTTATTTATTTATATATATATATACAAATCTCTTCTGCACTGAGCTGGCAACGGGCGGATCTGCATCACCTCCATCCTGCCAGATATACAATACTACTACTGCATTGCTGTATCATTCCTACATCAATGATTATGTACAAATCCTGCTCCTTCAAATATGGAGGAATGACTTATATGTCTTATATATATATATCTACTGTATGTATATATATATGAAACAAACAAATAATTCTATTTCCTGTTCAAATCAATGCACTGAGCTGGCAACGGCGAGATGTGCAGGTTCACGTAAATCCTGCTATATATATATGTATATATAGTATATATCTACATAAGAAAATCATCTGCATTGCTGTATCATTCCTGCATCAATGGCTCAAACAAATCTGCCGCAGTTGGCTCCTTCAGCCATGGCGGAACAAGCATACCACGGCCGGCAAGTTTCATGTCTGCATATAATATTGTATATATATATATATCTTTCTGTCAGTAATTCCATAAATATATATATATGTGACTTATCTGTATATATTTTGGCGGAGCCAAACATCTGCAGTCATTCACAGGAACACACTGCAAAATCGCTCTCTCTCTCTCTCTCTATATATATATATACATATACCTAGGTGTATATATATATATATAGATATAATTGGCAATAAAATTCAAACGATCCCCAGAAACACTGAATATTCTATCTGTGAGACTTTGGTGGCTGCATGAAAAGAAATAGAGACATCGAAGTCAGAGACACGAGCGCACACACGTGTTTTTTTTCCCGTGCCCGTACTGTTATATATATATAACTTGTTGAGGAGTCGAATCATGGCTTCATGTTGTCTCTACCTGAGCCATCAATAATCAATGATGCAATTCAAAATGTCCTGGTATGATCAATGATACAATTCAAGTTTAATGATGGTTACAAAGTAGACTTTATATATATATATCCCGGATTTGCAGTTCAAAATTGCCAGTTTACTCCACATCCAAACACTTTCAATATATATATATATAAATATATATATATTGTCTGAGTTTTGGACGCGACCCACGACCGTTTTGCTTTTGAAACGCTTGTCTTTCAATGCCTCCTGCCAACAGTCTGTATATACATATACATGATATATATATATATATATCCTAGTCCATGTAGTATATATATATATTTGTATGTATATATATATAGAAATGCAAATATATATATATATATATTTGAATTACAATATATATAGATATATATAGACATATATACATATTTGGATTATATATATATACTGTATTCATATTTATTTGTATATATAAATATATATTTATATACATAGAAGATCATACGTATTGAATGAGCACAATCTCAAAAGAAGTCCTCAATCGCTTCTTGTGTCCATCCATAGTTTTTCAGCTCCTCAGTTCACAAACATATATCTATATGGTGAAAGAATTTTTGTGATCTGATTGACTGAGTCCAACACATTCGGATCATACCATCCTCCTGCTTGGAGCAAATCTTTCAGGTCCTGCCATGCAAATTGATTTCATATAGCTATATATATATATACAATATATATATATAGGTATATATATATATATACATACATAAATATATATATATATATTATACATATTGACAATTTCAAACACTCAATGCAACCAGACTGCTCGACTGATCTTGATGGAGCGGATGTATCTTGCTTTGCAGCCTTCTCAGTCAAGTTCTCGGTATGCTTTTTCACCAGCTCCTCCATGTGCTGGACAAAAAATCATGACTTAACCCATCATTTTGTGGCAATTAACAGGTGCCTTACATATGTACATTAGACTATATATATATATATGTATTTAAAAATATATGCCTACATACATATATATATATATATAATGTGCATCCAACCATTGGAAGGAATGATTCAAGCCAGTCCTCAAATCCAGGACGAGGGCCCCCTTGAGCACTTTGGGGGGGGCCCCCCAATATACATTTACAGGTGCTTCAAAAAACACAAACCGGGAGCACAATATACATTAACCACTTTTTTCATTTTTTTTCTGCAGCGGCCATGCTTCAACACCTCTCAGACGTCTCAGAGCCGACCTGGGACACCGCCGGCAATGCCGGCAAAGCTGAGGTCTGGGATAGATTCGATACTGCTTTTCAGCATTGAATTGACTGATATTTCAGCAAGAACTAAGGCTGGGGCATCTTATCGCTCTTATGGTCTTGGATTCAGCCTCAGCCGAGATAAATTGGCAAATGGTGGCAAATGATAATGCTGAAAAGCAGGCTCGCAGGAAAATTGCGCTGAAAAGCATTCAAAGAAGTGTCAATCATCATTCATTCTTTCTGATGAACTGTTCAAGTCTCGTGGTTAAAATCAACATTTAGCGTATTTAATGCACCTTCATGAAATCTATTTAATTTACAGTGAGAGAAGAGAGTTACCACACCACAGTCAGTCACTCCTCACAGCTGATGCGTGCGCTATTTCTTTCCAGCCATCTGAACGCATCTGAATCTGTGTCCAGCTAAATGCTAGAAAGTTCATTCCAACGTCACTTAGTGACTATTCAAGCCAAATTGACGGGCCTTGCAGCTATATAATGATTTGAATTTTCAATGCTTCTAAGATCCATTCATTCGCATTCATTGAAGCCCAAGCGGCATCATGTTGAAAAAAGGCTAGACAAGGACCCATTCATTGTCCCACTCAGCCTCCTCATCACGGTTTCGATGGCGGAGGACATAGGCCAAGGATCGAAGGCCTGCCTCCAGACGCCAGCCATGGGCACCAAGAACTTTCCAAGAAAGGTAATGGAGCGGTACACACTGCCATCAACGTTGTCCCACACCAAGTGACGTCCTTGGCCTTGAACTCGATGAAAAGTGAAATTCCAGTGCTGGGCCATGCCTGGGCAGCAGGCAAAGTCAGTAAGGACCAAGCCGTCCCGGATGAGGCTCCATGAGCCTTGCGACTCACAATGATGGTTCTTCTTCTTCACAGTGATGCGGCTGAAGTATGTGGGGCCACCTTGAGAAAGATCCTCGCCACCACTGCCATCATCTCGCAGCAAGCAGAACAATATCTCATTGTCCCGTCTTCTGCCAGGCTCCTGATGGAGCCATCTAAAGGCAACAATCTTCGACAAAGGGCTGAGTGCCGTGGAAGTTTCAGCCATGGCAAACCCCTGTCACTGTACGTGGTTGACACTGCGGAGATGGAGCCAAAATCTTGCATAAATAGTAGAATGTTCTGTTTTGCTTCAAAGTCATGGCATGCAAATCTTATTCTTTTGGAACAACATTTCTCCGATCCCTAAGGCTGCAAATTCTGATTTGTTTTAAAGGGTCATCGCGTGCAATTCAGTCAAAAACATATATACTGTCTCAGAGAACATATCCCACTATAGAATCGCAGTCCCTAAAACTCTTGAGTGCTGGCAAGTCACTTCAATGAATTTGCAATAACCCGGTAGGTACGTAAAAACCTGGGCGGAATGGAAAGGACAGGGGCTCATCTTTGCCCACAGATCTGACATCGGAAGATTCAACATCAGAATGTCCGCAACCCTCATGCCAAACGTCACCGAAGTGATTGTTATTGAGACACCATAGGTCAGGAAAAATGCAACTACCAGACACTATGCGCCCAATAGAGTCAATGTCACAACATGAAAAAAACACATGAAGCTCTTACATGAACGACATGAAGCTCTTACAGACTCAGGCTCTTACAGCCGTTTTTTGTTTGGCTCTTACAGCCAGGCTCTTACAGCCGTTTTTTTTTGGCTCTTACAGCCAAAATGTCATGGTCCTGTTGGGTACAGTGTGCTTTTTGCTCAGCACTTCTGGTTAGTGTGTGTTTCAATGTGCTTCAGAATTATAATCTATTATACTTGTTATACGTGTTATAATAGTCCCAAACAGATTCAACCGCTGGTCATTCTGAAACAATCTGAAGCAGCTTCTGCCAAGAACTGCCAAGCTGCCCAACACCCCAGTGAAAGAACATGTCAGAGGAGTCGAAACCAATCGCTGTAGTCTCGAAGACCATCCAACTGCCTGACACGACCGGCGGTTTGATTCAAAAATGGACTCAACTTCCACATTCAGCTCAACTGCAATTTTGCGGTGCAAGTTTGGGAAGCAGCCCCAAACGCCCCCAAACACCGCAACGTCCGACCCCACAGCATGTGTTTGGCCAATGCGCAACCCTGATAATGCTTAGCCCTGCCTGCGCCCATCTTAGGCAGCAGGACAACCCCAAACTTTGCATGAGAGGAGTTCCAACGGTTCCAAACAACAGCCACTATCGCACTAGTCTATTCTCTCACAATCTCTCACACTCCCAGATTCCAACATCAACAATTTTGGGAACATGCACTGGCATGAATTGACTGGAACTCGCTCATGCTCCCCGGCCCCGCAAGACAGGAAGCGCTTCCTGGTCAACTTCAACAAGAAACTGGCGCAAGCTGGAGCTAGGATCCACCGCTCCCTTAGCGGCTGCCCCCACTGAAGGTAGTAGGCGGCGGAAAGTCACGAGGACGTATTCACCGAAACTATTGCAGGAACCAAATTTCCCACCTGCACCCTTCGCCATCTTCTTCCACCTGGCCAGGAGACAGGACGGTGTTCGCAAACACAGCTCAGAATAGAGCGTGCGGTGGCCCTTCACTTTCACCTGGCCCTGCTGGTCCAGCAACGAGAACCCTGCCTTTGCACACAAGGACGCCAACTCCTTCATGTATGCAACTATGTTCTGACGCTGATTGTCGCTGTATGAATTCAAGCCGCCAAATGATTCTACAGTGAACAGGACCGTGCTGATCTGCCGGTCGGGAGTACTTTGGCATGCGGACAAAGATGAATGCCCCTTTCGAAGTGCAGAGATGCTTTTCCTGGTTTCTTGCAAGGAAGCAGAAAATACGGAAAATACATGTTGTTTGGGAAAAACTATGGCTTCCACCTACTGGACGCAACATCATGCTGTCACAACACTTGCTAGTAAAAGTGCACAAAACAGAAACAAACCTATTAAGACCAATTCCACCAAACTGCAGTGTCTCCTTGCCAAAGGATATCTTCAGAATGTGGGAGGATTCCTGGATGTTCAGCTTGTCATTGCAAACTTCCCCCAAGATGAGCCCCTCTTGGTCATGAGGATCCACAATGACAGCCATCCCAGCCGGTGTCCCCCAAACTTGAGAGGGCTGCTCATCCGGCACAGCTGGAGGTACCAGCAAGAGTACATGAAGTCGAGTGACTAGCTCTGCCGGCATTGCAGTCGAAGTGATTCTGGCGACGGGGCAGGGCACCGACACATATCTATCAACGTTATCAAGCTCAAGCTGAAGCACAAACCAGCAAAACCAGTCCCCATATCCACTGGTATAATATGGCTGCTACTGCTGCTACTTTTTTGGCATGCCTAGCAACAATTTCGAACAATTTCAATGTCGGCCATTGAAAATGGGAAAGTCAACCCATCTGTAAGAACTGAATGATTGCAAACTTCGAAACTTATTGTATAAGCCCGCCTGCTACCAAACCGCTTTTCACCCTTCTTCATCCCTCGGAAGACATCCAACACCAGGGCCAGCTTGACAGAATCACTTCGATGCAAGCGGATGACCAAGACTTGGTATCTTCTCACCCCGCGGCTGTCCGTGATACATGGGGGAATGAAGTTCTTGACCACTTGGACATGATCTCGATGATCTGTTGTGGCCTGCTCGGCAAGCTGCTGACCGAGCTGGTGCTGGACCCGCCTTTGGAAGTTCATCCGTAGCGCACTGCGAGACTGACGGGCTGTGTTCGCAATGTATGCACGTCGAGCCAGAGAAACCTCGTGCTGCATGGCATTCCATGTATTCAGCCCCTGGCTGACACCTGTGATCTGCGTCAAAGACAGTGCCTTCTCTGCATGGCGGGCCTGAACCATAAACTTCATGATGATCGGCATCAGTTTCCAACCGCGATCCACAGCGGCAAGTTCCCCATCACCGTGCCGACCGTGCTCTTGCAGCCTGCCATCTGACTCGCTTGCAACATCAGCACTTTGCAACAAGCCGCCCAAAGTTCTGTCAGGCCGCAGGATGATACGATCATTCGGATCATTGCCCTCACATGGATCAGGCAAAATTTGGGATTCTTGCAAGTCATGAGTCACCATGCCGAAGCGCTCCTCCAAGTTGACCTTGGCAGTGTCTTGAAGTTTCTGATTCAAATCATCAATTTCCCTGGCGGCTGCCATGTGCACTTCTGCATGTTCAACTGCTGCACTCGCAGCATCATCCTCATCCAAGTTGACCACTGGGTCGCTGTCCTCCTCACTGTCTCCATCTGACTCATCGCCAACCACGAACTCTGCGCTAGCATCCTTCTCCCCGTTCTCTTCCTCAGGGTTGCTACGAAAGAGTAGCTGTTCTCCATCTCGCTGCCACCACTCAACCAAATCAGCTTGAAGCTGTGATGCAGGAACCTGCACCATCAAAGCAGACACAAACTGGCAAGCAGTATCAAGTGACCTGTTTGACAGCTCAACGACATCAGATCGAGGAAGGCCCCCCCAATGCTGAAGCTTTGTGTGTTGCTGCAGGTTTGCAGCATTCGGTGGTGGACTTGAGCAGCCACGACCAAATCTTTGAATGTTGGAGTGCCTTGGTATGGTCGCTTGAGGCTGGCAAAGTAGTGCTCCAATTGATCTTCTTGGGCATGCTTCAATGAGAAGAGCTCACCCTGCACCCAGTGCATCACCCGGTGGGCAGCCTGACTTGCAAGAAGACAAACGTTGCGAAGTGTCACCAGTGCTGGACAAGCGCAATCATATATGTCCTAACACCACTAGCATTGAGCATGCTGATGAGTCATCTCATGACACAACTTGGGCGCCTGAGTTATCAGTGGATCATGTATGAGCCTGATCGCACTGATGGGCATGCTTATGAAGCCTGTGGCCCCATGACTGTTGCCCTTGCTGGTCATGTGTTGCTTCGGGTTCCATTGCCCCAAGGCAGAAGTGCAATCCAGGCCTTCTCTGACATCCGGCAGAAGAGGTTTGTTATGAACCTCCCAGATTCATGTATCACGCCATGGTCATGGGCATGGTGGCCGTGGTGACGATGGTGATATCCATGTGGCCAATCATGGAATGGCATGGCCGGGCATGGCACACAGATCGCACAGATGGAGCGGATGGAGTTGGCTACAATTTCCCGCAATTTCCACAATTCCTTAGTGTGAGGTCTATCGGATCTATGGCCTTGTGCTACCTGCACCAACCGCACCAACTGTGGTTTCCGGCAACGATGGCCAAAGCGGCCTTAGACTTTTAGCACTTTTACCAATCTACCCCGATGGGATTCATGTTTCACATCCAGCGGTCATACCGCAATGTTTACCTTCAAGGGAGGGCACACATGTGCCTCATGGCATACGACAGTGCCGACTTCTAGGAAAAGGCGGCGACCTCTACTTTGAGGACTAGGCAGTTCAGACTTTGTTGGCTGGTGAACCCCCAGACTTCGCAGATCGTTTTTTCAAGATGACTTTGAACATTTGAAGAGGTGTTCCACCAAACCAAAGGGTTTTTTGATTCGATTCACCTGGCAAAATCTCCAGAGTGCAAAAAAACGCAGAGATTCACAGCCGGCAGTGGCAGGTTCAACTTTTATCCGTTTTATCAGATGCCAATGGAGGCTATGTTCAGCAGCCTGATTCTGAGCAGGTTTTGACACCAAAACAGAGGGCTGCCAGGGCTGCCCCACAAGCAAAACCTCCCCATAGGAAACCAACAAATTTCTGTGGGAATCTCCAGTGCGTTTCAGAAGCAGCGTGGAATCTCCCTGAACTGAGTTTTGTTTCCGCATGCGGCGGATGAAGGTTGGAACGTCGGCAACTTAATCGACGTTAATCGAGAAGTCATTCATGCCAGTCCAATTTTTTGCAGGGTTTCTGCCATTAATTTCTAGTGTTTCTGGTCGTAAAATTGCGGATTTTGGAAGTTTGCCAGTTCAGTTCATGATCAATTCTGAAAATGGTGAAATCAGTTGACAGGCCAGGGTCTGCTTACGACACCGTGTCGTAAGCAGACCTGGCCCTCGGATGGATGAACATAACCATCATATCCTGCCATTCAAGGGCCAGGTCTGCTTACGACACGGTGTCGTAAGCAGACCCTGGGTTTGAGGGGTTTGAGACCGTTGAGACTATCATGCTATCATGTTCCGCTGGCACCGCTGGTGTCTCAGCCTGCTTCAGGAGACCTTCCCCTGATGACAAACACCACTGGCATGAAGTCGCATGAAGTTGCATTTCGAAGCTAGCACAGCCCTCAGTCTTCTGAATTTGATGCTGTTGATTTTGGCAAGAAAGAGATCGAAGAGATGTGGTTACCGGAGTGAGGGCCAGGTCTGCTTACGACCCCAGGTCGTAAGCAGACCCTGGGTTTGAGGGGCGTGAGGGCTTTAAGCGGGTTTAAGCGGGTTTAAGACTATCATGTTCCGCTGGTGTCTCAGCCTGACGCAGGAGACTCTCCCCTGATGACAAACAACAGCACTGGCAAGAAGTTGCATTTCGAAGCCAGCAGGGCCCTCAGTCTTCTGAACGTTCTGAATTTGATTTTGTTGATTTTGGCAAGAAAGAGATGTGGTTACTGGAGTTGTTATCGCGGACTCATCGCAAGATAACATGTGAAACTCCAATCGCTCCAATATCAAGCTGTGCACCATGTTCCCCACAACTGCGGTAGAGTGGCTCCAGACACCGAATTGTGGCCAAAGGGCCTGTTGCGAAGCGGCTGTCGGCTGTCGGCTGTCATGGCTTCGGCTGCGTTGGCATGTGATGCTGAGGATTTTGAGATGTCGGCTGCCATGACTTCCTGTAATGAGATGTCTGATCAGGAGCTAGATGTCCATCCAGCTCTTCCTGAGGAAGGGTGGCTCTCGAAGTTTGAGGAATGGCTGACGCAGTCATGGGGTTCCGCAGTTCCTGCTGGATTTGGTGAGTGGCTGCGAGAGAAGGCTGGTTCGTCTCAAGACTTGCATATATTCATTCATTCATTTCAGATACAGTTGAATCAATTTTCCAGTGCGAAGTTTCCAATGATGTAAACGTGTAAACATCAAGAATTTAGTATGAGCTAATTGCAAATTAACAAACATGTGGCGGACATGTCTTTAGATGCCAGCCTCCGCCAGCGCAGCAGGGGCCGCCTTCGCTTGGGGTTGGTTGCTGAAAAAGTTGAAACCACGTCATGATTGGGCGCTATGGGCCACCACCCAATGTATGACAACTTTGAGAAATGGCGGGGAATCCAGAACCCACTTTGGTTCTCAACAAACCACGACCCTCAACTGCTAGCTTAAATGGACACGCGGGCATGGCTTAACAAATTTCTGCGTGACCAACCAATAGAATTCCAGCGGCCTGGCCAAGACTTACCCTCGAGACCTGTACTCCGCAACTGTTCAGACAACGACTTGCCTCTCCCATCTTGAATGGTGCGGGGGAGAGCCACGTCCCAACGGAGGGACGCAGGGCATACCTTGAAGAGAGCAATCATCTGGATTCACCGACTTCAGCTATGCCTGAATCGTCTTGCTTGATACAACTTAGGTGCAAACGGAACTTCTGGCTTTGTTGCCACCTTGAGTGGTGCTTCGGCGGATGAATCTGTTTCGACTTGGCATGGCATGGGCATGCGAAGACCTATTTAACATGGTAAACATGGGAACTGGCCGGAACTGGCTACAGCCATAACTGGAAATGCTCTTTTACTTTAGGCTCTTCATGGCTCTTCAAAGAATCAGCCTATTGGATACCGGACAAAAACCCCAATCAAACAAAAATGAGCTAAAAGCAAACTAACAAAGAAACGCATTCCTGGATGTGAGTGACATGTCTTTTAGACGCCAGCCTCTGCGGCCAACGGTGTCCAAATGTGTCCAAGAAAATGGATACTTCAACTGCAACATCTACCAGTTCGTGGTCATCTTAGCTGCAAAATAATCCGTTTGGGTGGCAAGTGCGAACTGGACATTTAATGGCTGGCCAGTTAGAGAATCTAATGAAGCAATAAATCCCCAAGAAGGGTGTTGACACTGCTCATGGGTTTATTGAGTTTATTGAAATGTATCTTGTCACCCTGTGGCTTTCCTGGCATCTGAATGCCTAAGTCCGGTGACTTGTACAAACTTGACTTTCGGTGAGTTCTACTTAGCAGTAGAGCATGCCTGAAATCAACTGGAAATGCTCTTGCCCATTCGACACTGGAATCAAACCCTCATCAATTAAATGAGCCAATTACAAATTAACAAACATGTGGCTGACATGTCTTTAGACGCCAGCCTCCGCCAGCGCAGCAGGGGCCGCCTTCGCTTGGGGTTGGTTGCTGAAAAAGTTGAAACCACGTCATGATTGGGCGCTATGGGCCACCACCCAATGCATGACAACTATGAGAAATGGCGGGTAATCCAGAACCCACTTTGGTTCTCAACAAACCACGACCCTCAACTGCTAGCTTAAATGGACACGCGGGCATGGCTTAACAAATTTCTGCGTGACCAACCAATAGAATTCCAGCGGCCTGGCCAAGACTTACCCTCGAGACCTGTACTCCGCAACTGTTCAGACAACGACTTGCCTCTCCCATCTTGAATGGTGCGGGGGAGAGCCACGTCCCAACGGAGGGACGCAGGGCATACCTTGAAGAGAGCAATCATCTGGATTCACCGACTTCAGCTATGCCTGAACCGTCTTGCTTGAGACAACTTAGGTGCAAACGGAACTTCTGGCTTTGTTGCCACCTTGAGTGGTGCTTCGGCGGATGAATCTGTTTCGACTTGGCATGGCATGGGCATGCGAAGACCTATTTAACATGGTAAACATGGGAACTGGCCGGAACTGGCTACAGCCATAACTGGAAATGCTCTTTTACTTTAGGCTCTTCATGGCTCTTCAAAGAATCAGCCTATTGGATACCGGACAAAAACCCCAATCAAACAAAAATGAGCTAAAAGCAAACTAACAAAGAAACGCATTCCTGGATGTGAGTGACATGTCTGTTAGACGCCAGCCTCTGCGGCCAACGGTGTCCAAATGTGTCCAAGAAAATGGATACTTCAACTGCAACATCTACCAGTTCGTGGTCATCTTAGCTGCAAAATAATCCGTTTGGGTGGCAAGTGCGAACTGGACATTTAATGGCTGGCCAGTTAGAGAATCTAATGAAGCAATAAATCCCCAAGGAGGGTGTTGACACTGCTCATGGGTTTATTGAGTTTATTGAAATGTATCTTGTCACCCTGTGGCTTTCCTGGCATCTGAATGCCTAAGTCCGGTGACTTGTACAAACTTGACTTTCGGTGAGTTCTACTTAGCAGTAGAGCATGCCTGAAATCAACTGGAAATGCTCTTAGCCCATTCGACACTGGAATCAAACCCTCATCAATTAAATGAGCCAATTGCAAATTAACAAACATGTGGCTGACA